CGGGGGGGGGGGGCTGTCATAACTCCAAAGTCAGATGATAAGAAGCTTTTGGGTTGTCCATTGTGACTTCAAATAATCACTAAGCAAATATTTTGAAGTCCAACTGTCTGCAGCAGTAATAACAGTGCTGGAGGCAGAATATTGAAAAAAAACATGCACTGAATGGTTAAATAAATAGTTTACCTATCGCCCCAAACATTATCTCCCATCATGAAGGAACACTGCTACAATGAGTAGGTTTCTTTCAGTATAAGCCCAAGTACTTGTGTTATAATGCAGAAGTTTTCAAATAGTTAAAAATATTTCTTAAGAATGATATTGGTGGCTAATTGTTAATGCTAGCAATCAGAAGAAAGAGCAGATTTCAGCTTTTCCTTCTATAACTATCTTTCCAGATAAGGAGAAAAGTGATTAACGGTAAAAAAAAATGAAGGGTCATAAATGGAAAACAATCAAATTCTATAAGACAATGTTTACATTAAAAAACTCATCTGGAAGTTTGTTGACTTTACTTCCTTATTTATTTTTTGCAAGAAGCAAAACTGGAAAAGGGATAACATACTAATGGAATTGAGATGTGGACTTTTCACTCTGTTTTATGTATTAAGCAAAACAATTGCCCAATAAAATTTTCATCTTGAAATACTGACTTTCCTTACTTTATGCTTAAAAAAAGGTAAAGGTTTCCTCTGTCTAGTTGTGTCCCACTCTTAGGGGGAGGGATACTCATCTCAATTTCCTAACCGAGGGAGCCAGCATTGTCCAAAGGTATTTCCATGGTCATGTGGCTGACATGACTATATGCAAAGTGCATGGAACAGTTACTTTCCCACCAAAGTGATACCTCTTTATTTACTCGCATTTGCATGCTTTTGAACAGCTAGGTTGGCAAGAGCTGGGGCAAAAATGGCAGTTCACCCCATCACACAGTACATGGGTCTCGGATTACATTCTCAAATTTTGTAGCTCAAATGCACTGGCAAATATGCGTGTAAATTTTTAAACCTTTATTATACTCAATCATGTTTTCTTCCTTGTGACATGTTTATCTAAAGTATTTTTCCATCTTTTTACAACTGGGTTTCTAAGACATATGATTATCATGACTGACAAAGTGGTAGACTACATCACAGCACTACAAATTTTATTAGCATTCTTCATTTTGTTATACACTGTAGACTTGCCGAAGGTAAAAGCTCATAATAAAGGCTGAAGATCCTTCATTAACTTCCGCCAACATAATATACCCAGTTTTGTTTCTAGTGTTAGAGAGCCCTTTTTATTTCTGATAAAAGGTTTTGATAAAATCTAAAAAGCACTATGCAATCTAAAACCATCTCTATCTATTGGACTGGACGGAATATGTGCCTACGTCTTAAAAAAGCTATCCACCACCATAGCCGAACCTCTAAGCATAATCTTTGAAAAATCTTTCAGGACCAGCTCCTTGCCAAAACTATGGTCACAAGCCACAGTCATCCCCATCTTCAAAAAGGGAGACCCCAGCCTAGTTGAAAATTACAGACCAATCTCCTTATACTGCGTCACCTGTAAAGTCATGGAATCAATTATTAACCAATCCATTATCTTCCACTTAGAGACAAACAATTTGGTTTCTAATAAACAATTTGGTTTCAGAAAAAAAACTATCCTGTAATCTGCAACTCTTACACTGCAAAAACATATGGACTACACAACTTGATCAGGGCAAAGCAATAGACGCAATTTACATAGACTTCTGTAAAGCCTTTGATTCAGTGGTACATGACAAACTACTCCTAAAACTAAAATCTTATGGTATCTCTGGACACCTGCATAACTGGATAGAAGAATTCCTGTCAAACAGACAACAAATGGTCAAAACTGGGAGCGTCCTATCAAATTCTGTACCTGTCAACAGTGGTGTCCCCCAAGGCAGTGTTCTAGGACCAACTCGCTTCATACTCTACATAAATGACCTCTGTGATCATACTAAGAGCAACTGCATTTTCTTCGCTGATGATGTAAAGCTATTCAACACCACAGACAATACTGCTACCCTTCAAAAAGACCTTGACTATGTATCAGAATGGTCAAACAAGTGGCAACTTCAAATCTCAACAAATAAATGCTCTGTCTTACATATTGGCAAAAAAAATCAGAAAATAAAATACAGGCTGAATAGTCAAGACCTTGTTGATGAGCCAAACTCTGTCAAGGATCTTGAGTACTCATCTCTAATGATCTAAGCGCTAGAGCCCACTGTAACTACATAGCCAAAAAGGCATTAAGAGTTGTTAACCTAATTTTATATAGCTTTTTCTCTGGTAATATTACACTACTAACTAGAGCATACAAAAAATTTGTTAGACCAATACTCGAATACAGCTCATCAGTCGGGAACCCACATTACGTATCTGATATTAACACAGTTGAGAAAGTCAAGAATTATTTCACAAGAAGAGTTTTCCACTCCTCTACTCGTTGCAGAATACCTTATGCCACCAGACTTGAAATTTTGGACCTAAACAACCTAGAACTACGCCGCCTTCGGTCCAATCTAAGTATAGTATACAAAATCATACATTGCAATGTCCTACCCATCAATGAATACTTCAGCTTCAACCATAAAAATACAAGAGCAAACAATAGATACAAACTCAAGGTAAACTGCACCAAACTTGATTGCAGGAAATACGACTTCAGCAACAGAGTGGTCAATGTCTGGAATACTCTACCTGACTCTGTGGTTTCTTCCTCAAACCCCCAAATCTTTAACCTTAGACTGTCTACTATTGACCTCACCCCTTTCCTAAGAGGTCTATAGGGGGCGTGCATAAGCGCACCAACGTGCTTACCATCCCTGTCCTATTGATTCTTTTTATTTTTCTTATATGTATCCATGTATTCATAACTATGTTTTTACTTATACCTATTATCTTGTAAGCAATTGACAAACCAAATAAAATAAAAATAAAAAATAAAAATATTGATGGTTGCTTGACTCTACCACTGAAATAATAGTAGCTATTGAGATATAGAAGCAAGTGGGAGACAGGACATACAACTAGAACAACTCCAAAACATAGCAGCAATTGAATGAAGGCAGACAGGGGTGTTGGTAGGAAAACTTTCAAGTGGTGGAAAGCTGCATTGGCACATTTCCAGGCCTTTGGTATAAATTGACTGTGAGGGCACAAATTGTATAGCACAGAAGTAATTTGTTCATTTAAAGTGAATTCTAAAACAAAAATAATCTAGGACAACTAATATAAATAAGTAAATAATCTAGGTAAAAAAAAAACTAGGACAAAAGAAATGAATTTGCATAAAGTGAGGGAAACCTCTATTGAGTTCAACACTTAATAATTTTTAGATTATCTCTTTTGACTCTTCAAAACTTGTGACATTCTTAAGAATGTGTTTTAACAAATTCAACATCTCAAATTATTAAAGTTTGGGTTTAGGATGAAAAATACGAAATTCCCTTGTCTATCTAGTGATACAGAGGATGAATTGTCACAGCACTTTTGAATGTGGGAAACTGTAAAATGAAATCACATTTTAAAACATAATACCATAAAACGATTTGCCCTTTCTCCTTATGTCACCTGTTCTAGGTTGTGTGGAAATATTTACAGTAGTTGTACATGGTGTTTTTTAGATGGAAATTTTGAGACAAGTTCTGTTTTTTTCAGGTGAATTGGAGGAGAAAATAAGCAATACCTAAGATTAAACTTCTATTTCAAAGTGAAATAATAAGTGCCATATCATTTAAAAAAAGGGTTAGGGTACCATCCCCTTCAGGACCAAAAAATATCAACAGAGCAAATTATCCCACTGTTTAGCAAAGGATTTGATTTTCTACCCTACTTCAGGTAGTCCTCATCTTACGACATTTGGGCCCAAAATTTATGTTGCTAGCTGAGAAATTTGTTAAGAGTTTTGTTCCATGAGTTTTCTCACTCCATTTGTTAAGTGAATCACTGCAATTCTTAAATTAGTAACATGGTTGATAAGTAATTCTGGTTTCCCCATTGACTTTGCTTGCCAGGTTTGCAAAAAAGGGATCACATGACTCCAGAATACTGCAACAATCATAAATGTGAGTCAGCTGTCAAGCATCCAAATGTAAATCACGTGACTCTGGGGATGCTGCCATGGTCCTAAGCATGAAAAATGGCCATAAGTCACTTTTTTCAGGGCCATTGGAACCTCAAACGGTCACTAAATGAACTGTTGTAAGCCAAGGTCTACCTATACTAAGATCACCTTCACAATGAATGAACAACAATAAAACAAAGAGAAGCCTCACCATTTTTTCTTCCCTTCAATGGAGTCCAGAATTCTTGGAGACTGCCTGGACAAGTCCCTGCAGTTTTCTGGACAAGGACTTTCAGGTTTGCCATTGTTTTTTTTCCTAGGGTTGAGATTTGAGAGAAAGCAACAGCCCAAGGTTATCCAGCCAGCTTTGTGCCTAAGACCAAACTAGAATTCATGGTCTCTGATGCCTTAACCACTACACAAAACTGGCTCTCTGTATTATTTTTACTCTCTACATTACTCTTAAGCTATTTGAAAATAGTAATAAAATGCATTTTCTAAGGCTGTGTTTCTTGGCGGCTTGAAGAGGCACGGACTTCAACTTCCAGAATTCCCTAGGCAGCAGAACTGGTTGATATCAGAATTCTCCCAGAGCTGGCTGGGGAATTCTGGGGATTGAAGTCCACGACTCTTCAAGCTGCCAAGGTTGAGAAGCACTGCTTAAGGGACCGGACGTTTATGTTTGAGTGCGCACTAGATGAAGCCCGCGACCAAAATGTGACCCCGCGCTTTCTAGCTCAGCCCCCGTTTCCTTTAGTCTTTCTCGTTGGTTGCGTAAGGAAAAAAAAAAAAAAGGCACTTAAGTTTCGGCTCACGGATTGGCTTCGACGTCCCGCGAAGGCAGGCCTTAGAAGCTCAATGAAACTTCGTGATTGGTTAGGAAGAGAAAGCCCGGAGGCTATAAAATGCTGATGAAGGGACGCCGCGCAAGCGCTTGGAGAGACTTGTTTGCCGTGTGAGCGAAGCTGCTGCAGCCGAAGACATGGCGAAGGACATGGCGTCACGGAAAGCGGTTTGCATTCTGCTTCGCGACCCCGCCTGCAAGGCCGACGTCAACGGCGTCATTTACTTTGAGCAGAAAGTAAGGCTTGGCTTCCCGGTTATTCTTAAGAATAGGACTTTTCCTCCCCCCTTCTTTAGCTGTAAGGGAGCCGAAGTTTGGAAGGCTACGTAGTCCCGAGGTTGGAAGCTGCGGCTTGGAAGTCCCTGATCGGCTTTTTTTTGTAGGTTATTCCCGGGCTGAGATGCTGAACCGAAGAGGGTGTTCCAGATAACGGGGTTAATATTGTAAATTGAGACCTCAGTGCAACCTGGGTTGCGTTCTTTCGGGAGAAGCCCATTGGATTTCTTCCATAATTGCGAAAGGTTGCAGAATCAGGTTAACTAGATAATCTGGACTCATTGCACAACTCTGTGGTTGGAGGCTAAACTACTACTATTGCTACTTTATCCTGATTTGCCTTTGATCTGTTTAGATTTGGCTCGGTTAAGGTTGTAGAATAGTAGTAGTAATGAAAAACCAGATAAGGGTGTCAGAAACTCTGCAAACTCGAGTTGGGGGTGTTTTTTAAAGCAATAAATAACGTGTTGCTGGGGAAGATAAAATAGTTTCTAATTCTTGCTCAGATTTTCAGTTCTCTCATGCATTTTTTAATCTCCATTTTCACTGCCTTTGTGCAGAATAACATCTGTACCAGTGAAACTAACATCCTAATTGTATCAGGTTATGATTTTTCTATTTTTTTTTGTTTCCACTGAGGGCAGCTTCCCCAAAACTTTCTCTCAGGATCCTCAGAGAGCATCTCTGTTCTCCATTCTGTAATAAAAGATGCTCATGCTCCAGATTTATTTTATCTGCTCCATAAAGAATAATGGCTGAGTCACAGTTTTAGAAGAGGACTTCAATGCCTGCTTTTGAAATGGAGAAAAGACAGCATGAGCTTTGAATTCTCCTCACTGGACAAACAGGTTTTGCAACCTCTGTGCCTATTCATCAATAACATTTTACTAACTACAATATAAAAGCTATGTGGGAGCTCAGTATTACATCTGCCATGGGAAACTGAAATGGAGATGAAGCAGTGGCTTAGAGTTACCAAGCCCTGGTTTAGTGTTCCCGTAGGTGATTCTTTTTTTGGTATTCTGTTTAGGAAATACTAGATATAATTATCTTTTATCATACATACCATACGTAGATTGTTTGCTTATTAAATAGATTGCATCAGCTTTGTGTGTACTGTAATTATGTATGTGGTAACACTGCTGGCATAATTTTTAGCAATAGTTCTTTTAAAGGAATGCTTTGAAATATTTGAATCAACTCTGATCAGCTGTAGAATTTAATGTTTGCAGAATGGTTTAAAACTCTTTTGTGGCAGTTGATTCACACAATAGAGGATTTTTTTCAATGCATTCTATTTAATTTTAAGAAATGTATTTGCTGAGTAAGCACTCAATAGAAACTTTTAACATTATGACAGTCCTATACATTTATCCTTTTTCCAATATTTTTGTGAATTTGTTTATATTGATCATTTAATCCTTTTAAATTGAAATGTATTTGTTTATAGAAAACTAAAGCTATTTTAGAAAAGAACCATGCTTTGTCCCATTAAAATATTCTTGGCTTAAAAGACGCACAAGCTTGGGCCTTCATTATAAACAGTTTTGAAAATCATTTTGGCACATATGTATTGATGATTTCTGGTTGATATCAGTTATGTAATAATTTTTTTTCTTTAGTTTAATTGGGCCTGATTCTCAGACTGTCTGGCATGGTTTGTCATTGCCTCCTTCCTAGAGCTGGCAAAAAGTGACTGGCCCAAGGTCACCCACCTGACTTTGCACCTAATCTGAGACTAGAATTCTCATCTTCTGGTTTCTAGCCTGATGGCTTAATCATACCAAAGTGGCTCTCAACTGATATAATTATTAATTTCTAATAGTTGGGTGTTAGTGATGCTATACTTATTTTGCATTAGGTCAACATCTCATGTTTTTAATGCTGTGGTGTGTTAACTCTTGGGGAAAAAATCTCTGAATAAGTAACTATTGCTGCCACTGATGAAATACAGGACTTGCATTCATGGTTAAATAATGAACAGTTACAAACTTTCAGATAATTTCTAAAAGAATCTGTGAAATTTACATTCATGGTTGTGAATGTTGCACATTTATTAAACAGTTAATTAAAGTACTTTTCTTTGGAATTTGGCCTAGGTTTTGAGTGCTAGGAATGGACTACATTAATGTTGGACTACATAGATGTAATCTTTGGAAATGGAGGCATTTAGAGTTTATGACATACTTGCCATCTTTGGCCAATCTCTAAAATCTAAAGTCAAACCTGTTAAAAAAAAAATCCAGAAGAAGAGATTGGTAAAACAGGGCTCTTCTTAATAAAGGTCTTAGAACTTTACATTCTTGGTTGCCATCAAATTAGGTGGAGTTTTAATAAACTCCATAGGGTAGTTATAATTGAAAGCTGTAGAAGGATGTTCAGAACTGCCAACTATTCAAGCCTTTTCAAGGGTTTAATCTCTTCTTTAGCATATGGTATTATCTCTCGGCTTCAGACTTGACATGCCTCAGGAACTCAGGCTTTTGCCAAATTTCTCATCCATCTTATATTTTAAAATACTCTTATTAATTACAGAGTAGTAAGCTGCAGTATAACAAAGTTTTGGTAAGAATATAGTATTCCTAAAAAAAACTACCATTGAAAAATAGCAGGCAATTATAGCACACACACACACACACACACACCCCAAAAAAAAGTAATGAAGAAAAACTGGGATGAGAGAGATGATTGACTGTGGTCTAGCTTGACTATCCAAACCCACCATTTCATGAATGGGTAAAACTGTCTCCCTAGTTCAAGAGACAAAAGATATCTCTGGTAATCTTTAATAGATATTTGCTGATCAGGACTGAACGATGATATTTTAAGGATTTGTTTATAGATAAGAGATGGGATTTGGCAAGAAGAAATCATTTGTATTTTAAAAGATTATAAGTCAACAAAATTATTTATAATGAAGAGGAACACATATTTTTTCTTTACTATATTATTTTTCTTTTCTATTTTTAGTTTGTATTAGTTTTATTTTGTAATAAAACTACTACAAAGGTTGTTTGCCAAGATTGGGAAAATTGAAACAGGTGTTTCATACTATATAGATATTAACAAATATATGCATGTTAATATCACATGCCTCTGTTGGTTGTAGCATTGAGAATGTGCACATTAAATTCAAGTATATGGTACTCATTTTGAAATATCTAATCCTACTATATGGCATAGCAGCATTCAGTTTGGGATTATAGATATGTGTGCATTTATCATGCAGTTCTCAGTGTATTCGTTGATTTGGTCTATTTCTTAATTTGGATTCCAATTCTATATAAGGACAATTTTTCTAAAATCCTATTAAATTAGTTTCTATGTTGAGGAACAATTTTAATTCTGCATATTTAAGACCCTTTTGTAAAATTACTGCTTGAACATTATTGTGCATTTTTGAAAATATTTCAGGATGATGGAAATGTAATTGTTAAAGGAAGAATTGAAGGATTGACTCCAGGAAAACATGGTTTCCACGTCCATGAATTTGGAGATAACACAACTGGTAACATTTTTGTGTTAACACTTTTCTGATAAGTACAAATACAGATAGTAATCTTAAAATTATGGATAAATCATAAATGTCCAAGAAGATTATTTTTCATTTAATTTCTAATTAGAAATGCTTTTCTAATCATGGATGGAAAGAAACAATATTTTAAAATTCAAATGGAAGATTTCTTGTATATCTTAACAAATAAGAATGCTTGTACTTTGTATATGTTATATAGAATATATACATGGAACCATATGTATAAGATAATAGACTTTTTCTGTGAGGTTTTATTTTTAAAGCTATCCTTGTTGACTTGCATATTATTGTCTACATTACAGGATGTACCAGTGCAGGCCCTCACTTCAATCCTGAGGGGAAATTTCACGGTGGGCCTCAAGATGAAGAAAGGTATATATAGAAATTTTTCCTGTGCGTGATTTAAAAGTAATTTGCACTTTGCAAACCAAGACCACCTTTCTAATTCTTTAACTTCAGGTTAAATATATATGTTCTGTTTGAAGTTTTCCAAAAATTTCCCAGTGTGTCACAGATACTACCTATTCACAATATTTGAAAGACATGCTTTGCAAAGTTCATTTGTGTAAAACAAGCATCTTTCCTGCAGGCATTAAAATTGCTATTCACACCAACTGTTTCAAAAGCTGTTGCTTTAGACATGCATGTGCCCAGTGACTTGGCTCAAGAATCTCAGAAATGTTTACCTGTGCCTGCACATGCAAGATAGAAGTAAAACTCTCTGAACCTCTAGAGCAGGGGTGTCAAACTTGATTTCATTGAGGGTCGCATCAGGGTTGTGTTTGATCTTGGGGGGCCAGCATGGGCATGGCCAGCTCGACATCTCTCGTGTCAAGGGTACCTGTGGTGGCCAGGTTCTAAAGGCAGGAATTCACTCCATTTTTGCTGGCAAGGTACCGTGGGCTGGTCCTTCTCTGTTTCCAGGGTGGCCCCATGGGCCAGATCTAAGCACCTGCAGGCCTTGCGTTTGATTCCCCTGCTTTACAGTTTTGTGCAATGGTCCTGTTACTAGTTTGTTGTTTTGTCTGTCTCTTCAATCATTCATTATCTCTCCAATTATTAATTTCATTTATTCTTAGCACTTTTCTAGCTGCTTGTTTCAGTAACTTAAGTTTCCTATATTATTTTGTTTTGCAGCTTTTGACTTAGCCACCTTTTTGTCTTTCTCTAAAACAGCCTTTTGGGCACCAGGGACAGGTTCCATGGAGAGAGGTTTTTCCACGGACCAGAGGGGCCCTGGTTTCATGTGCTGCCTGCATCCCACAGATGGGTTTTGGCTTGTTTGTGCAGCCCAGTTTCTGGCATGCTGTGGACCAATGCTGGTCCACAGACCAGGGGTTGGAGACCCCTGCTTTAAAACATTTGTTTTAAATCTCAGCCCTAAATAGCGTGTCCTTAAGAAATGGCAACTGATGTGCTCTCTAACAAAGAGATTTTTAAAGATTAAAAATACAGGTGGTCCTCAACTTATAATCACAACTGAGCTTAGAATTTCTGTTGCCCTATTTTATGACCTTTCCTGCCATAGCTACTTAATGAATCACTGCTGTTGTAAAGTTGTTAAGTGAATCTGGCTTTCCCATTGACTTTACTTGTAAGTAGGTGCCAATGACTCGGGGACACTGTAGCCATCATAAATATGAGTCAGTTGCCAAGCATCTGAATTTTGATCATGTGACTATGGCGATGCTACAATGGTTGTGTGAAAAACCGTCTTAGGTCACTTTTCAATCCTGCTGTAACGTTGAACAATTACTATAAACAAACTTAAGTTGAGGACTACCTGTAGTCATTTTGGGGATGAGGTATAATTTTGATAAGTAGATGAATAAATGAATCGATTTTTCGCCAGATTCTATTAAATGAATGGGTTCTTGGTATCTTGTTCAGAGGCACCAAGCTAGAATATTTAGAGTAATTTCTGTATTTCTATATACTAGTTTGAAGACGTAGCAAGATATTTGTGCTTTATACAGTTTATTTAGCATTGCCAAAAATAAAAATACAGTTACGACTTGAACAAGCAAAATACAGCCATACAATTAAAGGCATCAGTACTTGTATACACATGAATTATAGTGAAAATATCAATTTGTATTTGTAGCTTTATATTACAGATAGACCCCAGCAGAACTCTTCAGGACATCCTTGAAACTTGTAGTTATAAATTCTCTCCCTATGTCATTAACAGCTGCTGCTATAAGAATTACACAAAAGGAGATCCAGTATTTTGTTCATGGTAACAGTGTAAAAAAGGCAGTAGCTCCAATAGGAAAACTTTAAGTAACTAACATTGTATTTGGCATTGAAGTGTACTTAGATTATTTCTATAAGTGAAGCCTTAAGACTGTTACGTGCTTTTAAGTGTAACTGGATATTGCATTTGTGAAAGATTGTTTACAGCGAATTTTAAATGTTTAATACCTAAACATTGACTTATATTTGTTAAAGAGTATTATTAGCTGGCTATAGTATTTCTAATGGTTGACTATAATTGAATGATTGTAAAACTGATCAACATAACTTCATGCTTGAAAATAGCCGTATGGCGGTAATACTGTAGAAAATTGTGTATGAGAGACATTGTTGGTCAGGTTTTATTGTTAACTCTGTGAAATAACTGTATTCCAGGCATGTTGGTGATCTTGGAAATGTGATTGCAGATGCATCAGGTGTTGCAGAGGTGTCGATGGAGGATGGGGTTATTTCTCTCTCAGGACCACATTCAATTATTGGACGGTCTATGGTGGTAAGTATGGCAATTTATTTTTTATTCTGGCTTTCACTCAACCTTTGTAAGTTGAGTGACCTTTGTAAGCATTTTTTAAAAATTTGTAAACCCAGAATTTTCTGGTGGTAATCAGCATGTGTAAAACTGTTGATATGGAATCCATTGACCAAACCTGGGCTTATAGTATCCTTAAGCCCAGATGTCTTGATACTTGATATAAATTATAAATGGAGAAATATCCAGTAGAGGGAATGTTCATAAGGTTACAGTTGCCAGTGGCCCAAATCAGGCTGGCCAGTTATAAAGAATGCTATGAAATGTATTTCACCACACATGGAAGAGAGGAAACTATCCAGATTTGGTAGCTATATTATGAGCATATAGGAATTAACACCACAACACTGAAGGCAGTAATCCTTTTTTTGATTCCTCAATTGCATTTATCTAGAACCTAAATTTTGACAAATACTATATGGCTCATCACATTTATCATGAGGCCTATCTGCCCTGGAACAAGATTGCTCAGTATCTCCTAAGCATTTTATGTTCTTGTTATAGAAAAGGATTTGCCAGTATCTTAACTAATTTTAACTTACTGTTAAACTAGTAGATGCTTTCTTCTTCATATTAAGATATGGTAGAATATGTAATTTCTTGCAGACATTTTAATTCCACAAAGGTACAGGGATTTTTTAAAAAACAAACCTGAAAATTGAGAATGAAATTCCAATTTTGTTAACTAATAGCCTTGACCTGAATTTGTTGATTTGTGCCTTTTAGGTTCATAAAAATGAGGATGACCTGGGTAAAGGAGAAAATGAAGAGAGCTTGAAAACTGGAAATGCTGGTCCTCGTCTAGCTTGTGGGGTAGTTGGTCTAGCTAAAGTATAAAGTACTTCTAGGAGTCACAATGAATAGAAGCAGCAGTATAGTATGTGGAATATAAATGTGTCTGTTGTACCCATTACTGGGCTTTGTTATAGTTTAAAAAATAATCTTATGGTTGTGTTAAATGGAATTTAAGCTGACAAATCTTGTTTCCTTTACCTTTTTATCTGTTATTAAAGTGCTGTAAAACACAAATGCAGAGTATTGGTGTTATATGGATGTTGAGTGTACAGTTTAAAAAAAATGATTCTAAGGGAAATTCTTTGGACATCTGAAATTGCTTGAATGCTGTGTTCTCAGTTAGTTTGCTAATCCTATTCTTTAAAAATCTAGCAAGTTCTCATTCTAGGTTTTATTTAATTAATAAATCAAGCCTGGTCAAAATAAATCTTGAGTGACAGCCTGATCACTGGAGACCATATTTTCCAAATATTTATCCAAATAATTTTCTATATAGAACTGTTGCTGCTTCCGTGGGATGTCGTTTAAAATGTTAAATTTTTCAAGAAACCAACAAAAATATTTTCATTTAAGTAATCTATGAAGTCTACATAACTATATTACATTACCTTTATAAAGGCAGTTGCTGCCTCACTATGGAAATTGAGACCTTTAAGGGTTTGATAACAAACCCTGGTAACAAATCTGCAAAATCCTGTACTGCATTCAAAACAAAACTTGCTAAATTTAGTAATGTTTTTATACTACTAATCCTATCACATAAAGATGGAATTTCAAAGAGCATTGTTAGAGAGGACTGCTGAAAATAAAAACAGATTAGTGAATCTGATCCTAATTTTTTTTGAATGTTAAAGGCAGAGAAATCAGAATTGTTAGCAGTGGTTACCTGTGTTGGAGCAAATCAATGGCCTTGTCTTAAAAACTGTCTACACTGTATTTGGCTATATATATGTTTTGTACACACAAGTCTGTTTCACCATCTGGTAACTAGCAATGACTATAACCCATTAAGAGTTTCAAGATCTAGAACAAAATGCAGGCCAAACAAGTTGAGAGCTTTGTGAGAGTGCTGCATGGAATTTTTATATCTTAACACACTGAACTTTTTTTTTCAAGCAAGTATTGATCATTTCTATTTATATATACACGATGATCTTCACTGAATTAGGGACTGTTACTAAATGAATTTTAGAATGGTATGGAAACAGTTCAACACAAATTACAAATTAATTTCACAAGAATATATAAAGTCATTTTTTATTCTATTGCAAAGAAGAATTTTGCCTCAATTCATCTTCCAAAAATTAAGTGGAGGGAGGGAGAAGAATCTATACTTCCCCTTAAGTGAGCATAACAAGCTATCTGAAAGACACACCAAATCAAAACAGAAAAAAAAAACATGGCATCAGTACTTGCTGTTTCCTGCAATTTCGAATAAGAGTATCACTGTGTATAGAATAAACCAAGGAATAAAATGTATATTACTCTTAAGGCTTGCTGGCATTTGCTAATGGAGTTAATATTTGTTTTTTTCACTTACTACAAAGTTATGATGATGATACAGCCAGCTTAAATAGCTTGGTTACTGGCAAAAGTATGCAAAAGTCCTTTTAAAAACTTAGTAGTTTGCTTTCATATACTCTATTCCAAGACACATTAAAATACAGTGGTAATTTGGAGGACGTGAACAAGTCCAAACATACTAATGGATTAAATCACAATTTTTTTCCCACAGGAGTTGGCATAAGTCCAGGAACTTATTTATAGGGCAACATTTACCACGGTATTAATTGGATGGCCAGGAAAAAAAAGTGACTTCACTGCAAACACCAGATTTCTTAAAACATTTAAAAGCTATTAATTTTTATCTAGTTAATTAAATGCATAAATTTAAAATCAATGTAACTATCACATATTTAGCTTCTGTGAACTATTATACAAACAGTTTTAACAGATTTAAACAGTCTAATTTAGACTCCAGTACAGCATTAGTTCAAACTTTAAGATGTTGAACAATTCTTTACCACTTCAGTGCAGCATAGGAAGAATAGCACACGTTAAGGATTGTTATGAAAATAGAGTTTATTAAAAACACATCCCTATTTTTAGGAGCTTTCACCATTTTACCTTCACTTAAATTAAAAAAAAAAATAGAAAGCACTTCTAAGTCTGATTTGTAAACTTTTTAAAGTGAAAACTTTAAAAAAGTTACAGCAGAAAATGGGTAATGGTTTATTTCTTTTCATGTTATTGTGTAGCTATTTTAAATAGAAGGGAAGCAATCAAATTGCTTACATGTCCCCATAAACTATGAGGGAATTGTGATATAGCAAAAGCAAAATATACAGCATACTGTACAGTTCTAAAGCTCTACACTCCAATGTAATTTTTGACAAATTCCAGTCTCTAGCGAGGAGCCTCCGCAACTGAGCCAGTAGGTTTTTCAGGTTTTTCAAGAGATGAGGTAGACTCAGATGCTACTTCTGCAGTTGGTTTCATACCAATAGGTTCAGACTCTTTATTAAGTTCTGAAACAGAGTCTGTGTTTTCTATTTTACTACTCTGAGATTCATAGTTTTTGACCCCATCTGCTCTGTCTGTTAACTCGGATTTCTCCTTTCCTCGATTTTCATCTTTTTCTCTATGGGGTTCCCTATCTCTAGAATCTCTCTCTCTGTGTCCACTGAAACGCCGATTTCTTTCCTCCAAGTCTCTGTGTCTATCACGTTCAGGGCTTCTTCTTCCCCATTCTCTCCTTTCACGATTACCAAGGCGTTCATGCTCTCTGTCATCATTACGGTTGCCATAGCGTTCACGTTCATTTTCTATCCGATTCCCAAAAGACCTCCTTCCAAACCTTTCCTGGTCTCTGTGTGGAGTAAATGGTGGCCTGTCATTCCTGAACTGCCTTCCATCTCTATTATCCTCAGATCCTCCTGGACCACCTCCAGGCATTCCACTGGGCCTTGCAAAGTGGCCTGGGGGTGGGAAAGGGCCCTTCATCCCATGAGGTGGAGGCATCCCAAAACCACCTGGCCCTGGAGGCGGACCTCTGTGCATCATATGAGGAGGCATGTGCCGAGGTGGCATCATTGGAAACCGTTGCAGATGAGGTGGTGGCATTCCTGGAGGTCTCTGAAGTGGTATCAAACCAGGTCGGGCACCTAGAAGGCCAGTAGAAGGTGTCTGAAGCCCAATCACTGGACTAGATGTAACTCCTTGAGTACCTAGTAAGCCAAAAAACATGAAATTAATTACAAGATACTTCTTGTTCATATGCCATCTCCCAAAAGGTTATAGATGTGTTCTTTTTTCAGGCTGCAATTTTTTGTAACTTTAAATATGTTTATAAACATTGAAGCATGCAACATTTAAATAGGCTTTTACTATAGTGAATACTTTTATCAATACACTTAAAATTTAATGAACAGAGACCTGCCTTCAATTTTGTTCAAAAAGTATGGTCCACCAAAACTGAAACACTATGCAAGAATACAGAATACACTTTTTCTGAAAGTTCATCTCAATACCAATTATGCAAAATAAGCTATTGGAGAAGGTTGCACATTAAATTTTCATTTTTTTTAATGGACAGAAAATGAAATAGATCATCTGCGGATCACTGCCATTTAATCAGCATGGTCAATTTAAATCCCCTTTATTTTAATAGGCCTAACCTTCAATATCTAATATACAACAAATTACAATTCTGCGATCATCTCAAAACTACCTCAAAAATTTTGCATTTACAAGATTTCTGTCTTCCAGTTAAGAACTACCTTGCACCAATCCAAAATCCATTCCAGAAAATTAAAAGTGATAGAATTTTAAGATACATATATGTCCTTTTAAGATACATATATGTAACAATGGGGGGGGGGGGTAAAGATTTTGCATTAAATGCTTTGCTGATAAAATTGGGCTTATGTGATAGTACCCAGAATAATTTTTAAAGTTTTTTTCTTTAAAGCTTTAACAAATCTGTCATATGTTATGCCATACAGGTATTTCAGACCCATCTTCATCCATAAGAAACATCTAAATAGGAACTCAATAATTAGATTCTAATTTTCAACTCTATACCAAATCTTATAACCAGAGCAGAACATAAGGTCCAAGTATGAACTGAAATTGCATTTCAAACATCCTATGTATAATGTTCCACAACATTCCCATTCCTTTGTAAAGCTGACACAAGAGTCAAAACACAAAGAATTAAAGTTTTTGCATTTTTAAATTGATGGGGCATTATTTTCAGCAATCCAGTGTATTAATTGTTAAGGCTGCTTCTCAATTCTATGTACACTTGATTGATAATAATTATAACTTTTATTTAACATGGTGTACCTAGCACATCTGTTTCAACATGTCTTTCTATACACATACATCAATAAGCATAGCAATAATTCTAAAACCTTATAAATACCTTATGCCCTGAACACAAGACTCCAGAGTCTAGTTTTTAGAAACACTTTAGACCCAAGACTTTTTCCTTGCTTAAAAGAAACAGAATTCACCTTTCCCTACAATACACCAATGGGATGGACTGAGAGTTGGATCTATATTTGCTAAGCAGCCTCAAATGCATGAGAAAAAGAGTCTAGTTTTCTGAACCAGGGTTAAGGCAATTTTTACAATGCCTCACCGCTTCCCATTAATTGTCCAGAGTGCAAAACAAGTTTCATTATATATTGACAGGCAATGCCCACTATATAATTCATAACTGGGGGTTTTAGGGTGAGGGAGGAGACGAGATTTATGTGTTGCCTTTTTTCATCATTCTAGGGTTTGGAAAAATAGCCTAGCTCAGCCCAAAGTGCTATCCCTGATAGAACAGGGCCTCAAAGAATCTGATCAACTTGGAGGGCAGAAAAATGACTTTTAGTATCTTCCTCCAGCCTTTTGTCTCATGGTTGTGCCCAACCTCGGCACAACATAGAGAGACATATTTCTATTATTATATTCAAAACATGATCCATGTGGCTGTAACAGGTTCTAGGTCCCAGATGCAATTTAGACATTTCACTTCACAAAAATAATCACCAGGAAACAAAATGGATGTTTAGTGTTAAACAGGTTCATGTATCAAGTAACAGCCACAATTTAAATAACTAAATAACTATTGAAATGATCGAACTCAAGGTCCAAGAAATTCAGCTTGGATTAAATTGCAACATAAGATGTATTTTTAAAGACTGTATTATTTAGAATTAGGATTATGTTTAGATTTTGTTTCTTGACATATTTTCCATACTTTTCTTTCAAATAAAATTAAAGGCATAACTATAATTAGGAGGAAGAAAAGTAAAGAAATTAAAAGATTACTAGACAACCCATGCCCCACTGAGTCGTTGTTTCAAAGACATTTTCTTATCCAGAGAAACGGAATGACCGAGGGCAGGCAAAAAAACAGGGAGGTAGGAAACGATTTCCAACTTCCTGCCAGCTTCCCATTGAATTTCCTAGGTGGAATCTGGCAGGGAGAACCAGAAATCTCCCCCCCCCTTTCTATCAGGCGGGTAAATGGTTGCTACTGGGTGTGGGAAAGAATGAAGGATTGAGAGACTGACTGGGAAATGATCCCCGAACATTGAAAACAGATCACAAATTATGGCTAACCAGCCATAACTTCCTCAAATTTTATTCCCTTAGGAGCCATTGGTCCCAGATTTTATCCGTTACCCCATTTGAAGTAACTTGGTTCAAAAACTGTTGCCTTGTGATGCACTGTTTTTCCTAATTAAAGGTCACAGCAATGAAAATTGTAATACTTATGTAGATGATCTACAGAAAAACTAACACTTAAAAGATGAAATGAAACTAAATGTAAAGTTAAAGAACCAACATACATTTGCTAGTAAGGTTTCATAAACTTGTAAAATTGGGTTGATCCATTAAGTTCAATCATCTACCGAGTTCAGAAATCCAAATTAACAAATTCTATACACTCGGCTATTTAGCCTTCATTTCTAGATTATCACCCACGATTTTTTTTTTCTTCACTATTATTCAATTATAATCTCCCTTCCAATGACTTACACTTATTCAGTATTAACATTCTGGAATTTTAAAAAAAGTCTTCTTCTTCTTCCAAAGGAACATCTTTTCAGGTATTTGAAGTGTGTTATCATATTCCCCAGGTGTGTTTATCTCAGGCTAAACATACAAAAGCGCCTTAAATTTTGCTCAAGAATTTGATTTCTAGTTGCCTAATATTCTTGATGTCTTCCTTTGAACCTGTTGTAATTTCCCCAAATGCTTTTTTAAATAGCAAAATAGAATAACAGAGTTTGGAGGGACCTTGGAGGTCTTCTAGTCCAACCCCTTGCTCAAGCAGGAGATCCTATACCATTTCAGACAAATGGCTGTCCAGTCTCTTCTTAAAAACCTCCAGTAAATGGAGATGAAATGTGGGACTGCAATATTCAAAATGGGGTGTATCCTTGGCTTACCTGAGAAAGAAGCAATAAAGAAAAGCTTCTATAGTAGAACCTTAAAAAACAAACTAAAGGAAGAATCTGTAGTCATGACCTGCAGTGCTTGTAGCTTGTAGATCTTTGTGATCCAACTCAAACATGAATTGGCATGTGTTAGCAGTGAGTGCAAATTTACAGGGGTCTATGAAGAAAAGGTGAAAGCAGTGAACTCTAAGCAGAGAAAGGCCATTCTCAATTGATGTAAAAGGATGAAGCTTTAACAGTTCAAAGAAAATAGGTTCTGTAACAAGAAACAAAGGTGGATGCTATGTGATGAAACTGGCAGAACTGAGATATATATAGAAGATACACTGTGACTCAGAAAGTTTTGAATCTTGTTCAACCCTGACAAAGCAAACAGAAAACAAATACTGCAAGAAAAGGGAATACTCTGACATTTTTAAAAGGCAAATTTCCATATCAATCAAAAGCAGACTTTTTTTTATGGAGCAGCTGTCTGCTATAATCCAAGGAACTTCCAGGTGGGTCATGCATCATGCAGCAGGAATTCGCTTGAGTGGCTTTTTGTTATGGGAACAAGAGACACCAAGATATTCAATGGGTTACTGTGGAAAAAATAGGACGCAAAAGTATTGTTATGTTCATCATCATACTCAGATGCTACTTAATGGGCTCCTAGAAAGATAAATACATCCTCCAGGATCTGAGCTGCATATGGATTCAATGGAATATCAGCATTATGGACATCCACCAGCATTGTCACTGTTTTGACGCTTCTTTAGAAACTTGTTTTGATGATATTTCCCATGTGGTATCTTATCAGCTCAGAAGCTGATGGAAGTTAAGAGGCTGGGGCTGAATAGAGGACAGTTAAAGCAAGAGTTCTGACAAGCAGAAAAATAATGTGGATTAGTAACATATTGCATCTCTGAGTCAGTGATGAGATAGTTGAAAAGAAAGACAATTACAGACAATAAATACATTTTATAATATAATATAACACTTCTATTTTATTCTGCAATGGCCAGGATGTAGTCCCCATAGTATCCAGTTTCAGGCAGAAAACTTTTAAGGTTTTAAAGAAACTGAGACAAATGTAAAAAATAATGATGAAAACCATCAGGGATTTAGCTTCTAAGTCCCATGATGAAAAACTGAGAACATTTAGTCTTAAGAATCAAGAATATAATTGCATATTTGAAAATACACAGGCCTGTTTTCCTATAATTCCCATAACGCCATCACATAAATACACAAACACCTTTCACACTTTGACAACTGAATCAATTATCTATATAGGGAATGATTTGGATTCCTGAACTGAGCAGGGAGTTGGCTTTGATAGCTTAAATGGTTCCTTATCCTATATATAATCATAGTTAAGGATGGTTATACATGCAAACCTTTCTGCATTAAACAGAAAATCAAGACTAGGTATATATAAAATATTCCAACCCAGAGCCAGAATATTTTGTTCTAGAAGAATATTACCTTGAAGAAAAGCTACAAAGGTACTTATGTACACATTGTTTAACCCTAAAAGAAAGGAAAAAATGAGAAACAAACTCTCTTGCTGTCATGATTCCCTTGGGCAGAAGATGGAGAGACTCTGTCTTCAAGATCCTATTTATACCACACAACAATAGAGTTCCAGTAGTTCATGTGAAGTCTGCTTCCTGACCATCAAAGGACTGACATCTGGGAATCTAAAAGGTCTATTATTAAAGTTCTTCTCTGAACTCTATAGGTAGTGTTTATTTAGCAATCAAACAGCAACCATTTCCAGTTAT